AATGCTCGAGAGTGTGCGCGAAGGGGAGCACGATCGAGCTACATACATACATCACACACACACGCGCGTAGACTATAGAAAATACGCACTACAACACAAGAAGTGTCTCTCTCTCTGTGCGCGGGTGGCGGGTGGCGGGTGCGGCATGTTGTAATATATAGGAGGAGACTGCTGTTGCTTTCTAACTAAGGAAACATCACGTAACCTGATTGATGCCTTTTGAGGTTTGTTTGGAGTCCGTGTGCCGGACGGGATCGATCGCGGTGTGTGTGTGGGCCTGTTTGGCCTGCGGAATTACTGTAAAATATGTATGCATCAGGTATGTATCTTACTAGATATCATAGGTTGTGGGTGTAGAGGGTATGTATTCATGTTTGTTCTCTCGCGCCGGACACCCGAATGACCCTTTTCTTGATCTTTCTTGGTCTATATACTGTAGATATGTGTGTTTTCACAAAATTGAAGAACGCCATGCACCCGCCCCTAACTAACGACTGCTGTGTGGGTGGGTGTAAAACCCCTTGCGGGTGTTGATCCCTAGGAGGAAACCCCTCCCTCTAGCTATCCGGGGGAGCTGTTCCTGTGGGCAGTCCCAAACTACTACTCGTACGTATCTTCCCCAAACCACAGATCTATCATGTAGTTTCTACGGAACCGCGCCCGTTGTTGTTGTTGTCTTCACATTAACAACCGTTCCGATCTCTCTGTACCCAGTACGTATGTCCGTACTGATGTACTGATCCAACACTCGACGCGGTCGATTCCCGTGGTCACAGGTTAACTTACCCTAAAAAGGTACACTCCAATAAACTGGCCCCGAGGGGTCCGCAAGTCAATAGAAATCAACGACAGATATTCTGGAATCCTCCACTCCCTCTGCGTGCCATGCGAGGTATCAACTGAGACTAGCAGTCACTATCTATCATGGGCCGGAGAAAGAGGTATACCCCCTTGGTTCAATCTTGGTACTTCACAACGCAAGCAGAGACCAGGCCATCTGGCACAGAAAAAGAGAGAAAACAGAGAGAGAAAAAAGAGAAAAAAGAGAAAAAAGAGAAAAAAAAAAATGGAAACCGTAAGGAGAAGAGAAAATAACATGAAAATAAAATGAAAAGGGCGAGGACAAAGAGGAACCAGGCCGAAAATAACAAGAATATGAGGCAGAACAAGGCACACGGTGGAGAGACCACCAACGAACAAGCAAACACGCAAACATGGCCGCCAACCAGCGATACATTGTAATGGTACGAAATCACTACTGGGGGGTTGGTGCAATGGTGCAGCGTTGGGGGGGGGGGAATTGGCTAAAAGAAATTCAATCCGGCACATATCGTGCCACTCGGTCCGTCTCTTCTCGTTTGCTTTCTTCCCTCGCCGTCTCGTCCGTCTCCTGCCCCCCTCCCGCCCCATTGGTTGTTGGCTTGTGGTTTCGTTTGAGCGCTCGATGTCGGCTGGCCTCTTCTTCCTTCTCGTGCCAGGAGGTCATGAACCTCTCAGCTCCCTGCAGCACCGCCGCATGCCAGGGTACTCGCCCCTCCACCTTCGCGGCTTCCGTCCACCTTAACTTCGGTGCCGTGTCTTTCGGTACGGGAATTCCGAGACAACATGGGTCGGTTTTCGTAGATCCGTGGTCGGCCCCGAATGCCTTCAGGTCGTCGAGCACACACTTCGGCCAGTTCTGTTCCTGTCCCCCCCTGCGTGGCTTCTCCCCCCCCGCCAGCTCGCCGAGCATCAGTCGTTTCGGGAGTCGCCCGTCCGGCTGCCTTGCCAGTGCTCCCGCGAACAGCAGGCGTCGTTGTCGGATCGTGGCTTCAACGCTCTGGCATTCGACCAGCGTCTGGGCGTACGAGAGCTGCCGGTAGGTGTCTTTCTTGCGCTTGTACCCGATAACTCGAAGGAGCAGTCGGTGGTGTGTCGACCGCAGCGTCTGATAGTGGCCGCTGAGTGGTGACCATCTCATGCAGCCGTACAGCAGTGCCTCCATCGCCTCCGCCTGGAGGAGGCGGATCTTGAGTCGGAATGGCGCTTTCGGTCTGTCGAAGAGCTCCTGGCCATATCGCCTGAGGCACGCCCACGCTCCTCTGCTCCTGTAGCTGATCTCCCGGGTGAGGTCGCCATGTTCGTTGACGAGGCCACCGAGGTACCGGAACTCGGTCGTCTGGGCGTATTTCTGTCCCGCGGCTTCGATGGTCAGTGGGGGAGGCGGGGGGGGCTGTGATGTTGTAGTCGACTTGTCCTTCGCGCGCATTAGGAGCGTCTCCGTTTTTTTCTCCGACACCGTTAGCCCGAACTCCCCGAACACCTTAACGATGATGGTCATCATTCTCGCCAGTCCTTCTGCAGACCTCGATACGACGCCGGCATCATCGGCATACAGCATCCCCCATACTGCCCTCCGTACTCGGTCAAGGGGTGTCTCCTCCCCCCCCCCCGCTTCCGTCTTCCCTCCTCCAAGCACACCAGATTCCGCAGAACAACATCATCCTCGCTGAATCGGATAACGACGACCTCGAGGACCTCGGCGAAGAAGATGTTGAACAGCAGTGGGGATAGCACACATCCTTGTCGCACGCCCTGTGTCACGAAGAACCAGTCCCATAGTTCTCCGTCGTCCATGCGCACCCGGGCCCGCATTCCATCGTGGAATTGGCGGATGACTTTGATTAGCTTCGCGGGAATCCCGGCCCTGGCCAGCACCTTCCATAGCATCTCTCGGTCCACCGAATCATACGCCTTCTTCAAGTCGACGAAGCACATGTAGAGCGGTATTTTCTTTCTCCGCCCCAGCTCCTGGAGGCGGCGCACGACGAACAACATGTCGACGGTGGATCGCCCGGGTCGAAATCCGCACTGTTCCTCCGGGAGGATGTTGTTGGCTTCGCAGAAGGCGCTTAGACGGTTGGTGATGATCTTGATGGGGACCTTGCCTACGTGAGATAGTAGCGAAATCCCCCTGTAGTTGTTACAGTTGGACCGGTCACCCTTCTTGTGCAGCACCTTGATGGTTGCATCCTTCCACTCTTGGGGGATATCTCCTCCGTTCCACACCTTGACGAGGATGGTATGGAGGTGTCTCAGGACAACGGGTTCGTCGTCATCGATCTTGAGCAACGCGGCAGGGAGGGAGTTTTGGCCGGGGGCCTTCCAGTTCTTGAGGCCTTTCGCTGCCCGTGCCACCTCCTCGAGTTCTGGCACCTCTCCCAACCGTTGAGTGTCACGTGTCGCTGGCCGCTGCGTCACTCGTTCGATGATGTCTTGGTTCAGGGTGGGGGATTTGGTGTTGAGCAGGGTGCTGAAGAATCTCGCCCACCGTTGGAGGATGTCGTCCCTGTTCCGGAGCAACACGCCGTTCTCATCCGCGACGAACTGCTGTCCCCCCGCTTGTCTCCCGCTGAGGCCCACTGATCTCTTAAGGTGTTGGTACAGTCCTCTCATGTCGCGATCTTTATAGATTGCTTCGAGTTCAGTCACATATCCGTCCAGGTGGGCATAAATGCCAAGCGGGTGGTCCTCGGAGACACTATTTGCCAGGCGCTCTCACAGCCGTCCTCCTGCAGTACATCATGACCGATTTCCTGTACTCCTCTGATCTCCAAAACACGATGAATGGCGAAGGAGTTTCGAACAGAGGCGATTGCCTGCCACAAGGGCACCCATGTTTGTACGAATGTGCATATTGAAAAATCGACAAGGTATTTCAACGCAAACCAGACGGCTAAGAGCACAACGTCTACAATATGGCCCAGAAAGACGATATGTGAGAAGAGCGCGGAGATTCGAGATAGTCTTACCCCTTGGCGAGCCCAACGTTTCGAGGCAAAGCGTTCCAGGATTTGCACGTTGCAGAGTTGTGTCACTCATATGGCATGCGGTTCTCGGCTTCCCTCCGGATCGGAGCTGATCGCGTCTCTGACTGGCCCCGGTGTTGCGAGGGAAGCAACTTCGTGGGAGGCCACAACAGACAGTCTAGACGCAGAACTGACCACTCATAGACAGGTCAGAGGCCGAGGATTATACCACGCTACCGTGACGCCCTATGTAGATGTGTTATGTAGCTCCCCACTGCTGTTTCGTTACGGGTTCTCTTGGTACCGCTGTGGGTTATGTAGATACACCGCTTATTATTTGAGACCTCGTTTTTTCTCCCCAAGATTCCTGTTTATGTGGTGAGCCTTGGACGATGCCGATGCCAAGAGAATTTTCAGCTACCCAATTTTCTTGCTGAAGGGCACGAACTTTCAGGTAGATGAGAGCGATCTGTGATACAAACATGCAAAAAGGGGTGCTGTTTAACTCGCAGGTGTGCGGATGCGGCGGTTCCGCGCAGGCTGTGGCGCACCCGAACCGGCACCCAAACCTTTCCTGGAAAAGCCACCGTATTTCGTGAGACATTTTGAGAAACAAACACAGGACCGACACCCAGACGCTCACCACCCAAGCGGACTGAGGACAGCTGACGGCTGTGACGCGTTCAAAGAAAGCAGTTGAACCCCCAGCCGAGGTCGCACTCTTCAAACCTCGTATAGTTCATCTAGGGTCCATCTAACGTCTTGCTCTCTCTGGCGTCTTGCTCTGGAGACAACAGCGCGCTGGTTGGCGTTGCAGCAACAGCACTTCTGCCACCGTGATGAACATATTCCGGTTACTCGGGGACATGACCCACCTGGCGGCAACGGTTCTACTACCATACAAGCTGCATACCTCCCGAAGCGCCGCAGGTGAGAAACACATGTGCATCCACGCCTCTACTGACTGACGGCTGCTGTGCCGCAACAAGCTGACAACAAAATGCGGCCTGATTACCTGCTGCTGTACCTTGTACCTTGTTCCGAGGCAGGCATCAGACTGCAGCGATGTATCATACGTTAGGCTACAGCAGTACTAGCAGGGCGGGAATGAGCCGAAGGGTACGGGTTTACCTCGCAGTATACTCTGCGGTGGTGTGCAAGACACGCTGCGTCCAGGCGGCAACCTCACATACACATATATTGCATATTGCCTACTTATGCGTGTTGCGGAAATATTCGAGCGGATCTTCAAGACTAGTGCATCCGCTCCCCGTTGTGTCACGGCTGTACTGCTGTACGCCAACACACCAACGGCGCAGGAAAACACAAACACGCCAAGGCACACTCGCCCTGCTACAACCGCACCGCTAAACGACCGGCACTTAACAGCGCTGCCGTCGGCATTCATGAAAAGGGGTGGCAGACACAACTCCTATGTGTAGATAAAGCAACAGCAGGCTGCTTGTAGACAGAGGCAGTGCGGTGTGGAAAGTGGCCGCAGCAAAAAGTCGCGTTCAAGCAGCCAGCCCAACCATTCCCTGGAGTGGACCCGTCGTTCATCATCTCAGTCTCGTTTTCTCATGTGTCGCTTGCTGGAGGCGGCGTCGTTTATTTACTTCCCTCATCCCTAGCCCTACGACTGTCCGCCGAAAGACATGATACCTTATGGTACTAAACCTCTTCAGGCGGCTGCTTAAGTCGGCACGGGACGTGGCAGGTTTCCTCTGAAAAAACACAGGTTTTCAGAGGAAACGCCTGCATATCTCGGTTTTCCAAAGTCTAACTTCAGTACGAAACTTCCATCACAAATTAACCGTCCGCTCACCCCCCCTCTGTACAAGGTTGGCTGAGGTTGTAGCCACTACAGACTAGCGGTCCACGATTTTCCAAACGATCCTTTTATCATCGAGTTCGGTGAGCTACCAGCTAGATTTTTGAAGCTGCTGTGCGGCCCGATTTTGAAACGCTCCAAGCACACGGTGAACAAGAATCACCGCCTATGTGAGTGTATGGGGCCGCGAACTTCAGCGCAGCTCTTCCCTCACATATCCAGCTGGTCGCCATTATCGATTTGAATGCCTGGGGTCATGTATATGCATGTCTAGCCTTTAAGCAAAGGTGCTTGAAGCGTTTCAAAATCGGACCGCACAGCAGTTTCAAAAATCTAGCTTGTAGCTCACCGAACTCGATGATAGAAGGATCGTTTGGAAAATCGCGGACCGCTAGTCTGTAGTGTATCGCAAGGGCTACAACCTCAGCTACTAACCTTGTACAGAGGGGGGGTGAGCGGACGGTTAATTTGTGATGGAAGTTTCGTACTGAAGTTAGACTTTGGAAAACCGAGATATGCAGGCGTTTCCTCTGAAAACCTGTTTTTTTTCAGAGGAAACCTGCCACGTCCCGTGCCGCCTTAACAGCACCAACGCCTCGACTTCGATCGCTGATGCTCCCATCTATCTTCTTTTTACCCTTAATCGTGAGATTTCCACCCGCAAGAAGGCGTATTTGTCGAAACCCCTTGGTGTGTAGTCAGAGAGCAGGCATCAGGTCTGCTGTTACTGTTGTGCTTGAACATACGGAAGGGATTGGGCCACAGCGGGTGAGAGTGTTTCTGTGGGTGTGCGAGACTTTGAGCTGAGTGGTTTGCGTCTTTCTTTCCTGGTTTGTATCGCGTGTGTGAGATCTCCGCTTTGTGCTCCCCCATCAACTAGGGTATCTTCTATCTGCATTTTTTCAGAACGATGCCCGTGTAGCACGGCCATCTCTTGTCGGAGCACCACCAAACCGTAACACGACCAAAAGAGCGCCCTACTCCTTCCTCCTCAGAAGCCAACAAATCGTCCATTGGTGCCTTTAAGCCTTGTTCGGGTCGAAAAATATGGTTATTTAGGCTTTGCGGAAATCGAGTTCGGGCCCCTGCATCGCGTTGGCACACGACTGATACTTCAGACACTTGTTTCCCTCCCCAGATGAAGGGGGGAAAGGTCGCGACTGTCGCCGCTCCGCGGGTCATTGTTAGACTTTGGGATTTAGATGTCTGCCTTTGGGATATATTTTCGCATGGCCTGTTGATACGTCACCACTCTGAGCTAGCTATATGGGAGGCCTACGTAAAAGTTTCATGTGCTCTTTAGGCATTAAACACGAACGCGGTCGACTTGCTACACGGGAAGAAGGAAGGCCACCTGCAGCGTTTCAGCGAAAGACGGTTCACCGCTGGGCCAACAATTGGGTACACTTTAGGTGCACAGCTGTGCCATCCGTTGGGTGCACTTAGGGTTGATCTGTCGGCCCTCCCACGCACAACTGCCGGTTTCAGTTTTTTACTTCCGTGACGTGTCAGCCTTTTGGTTTGGTGGCCAGAGGAAGAGCGATTTCACTGCATTTGTGGTCAATGCTGCACGGACAAAGGGAAGGCGACGTAATTCGGCACTAATTGGCACAGGCACGGTAAAAGTGCATGTGACAAGTTGAATCCAGGTCGAGACACGCCGTCGGCCGCTGTATTTTACCACATTTTCCAGGTGTGTCACTCAAGATGCAAGAGCTCTACCTGGTGGTCTTCTTGACGCGGTACTTGGACTTGTTTTTTCGTTTCATTTCTGTGTACAACAGGTGAGAGAAGTAGCGGCAGGGTTACAAACATCAAACACAGTAGGACTGTTAGTGAGTGCCGGTTGGCTATTTCTGCGGCAGTCAAACCACCAGGTACCGGCGTAAATCAATCCACCCTGACTCCCCCGATCTTTCTGCTAGGTATGGGAATGTACAAGATATGACATCCTCATCATCGCTCCGCTTGGCTATCCTCTCTAGACAGGAAACGTGGTCAAGGAAGGGTGCGATTATTTCGGTCGGGGGGGGGGGGGTAAATAGTATGCTATATTGTGTGTGTGTCGGGTGCTTTTGTTTTTTTTCATGCTTAACTGTTAGACCATCGACCAGCATTGTTCCCAAAGGACCGTTTACCGATGGCCAATCATTCCTTCTTACTTTGCCAAAGGTGGCTCAAAGTGTTTTTATCTACGAAGATTTTACCTTCCCTCCTTTGCCGCCCACGTCTTTCCCCCCAGTATAGCTGCCGACTCACCTGTCCTTTCTGTGCCTCAAACCTCTGTCTGCAACTTCCTTCTTCTTTTCCCAGCTCATCCATGTACATTTCTCTCTCTGTTTCACAAAACGGACATTCTGCAACTGTGTGTATGTCGGGGGGTGTAGCAGAAGATGGAAGGCTAGGCGGCCATCCACACCGAAGATAGCACCCTCGAAGTTTGGCGTTGCAGACATAACTTCAGGGCAATTGATTGACAGCGTGGGACTAGTGAGACGCCCGTTTGTGCAGCCCCCGGACTAGTTTTTTCACGCGATTCTTTCAGTGCTGGCGAAACATAGAATTCCTACGTGCAGCACCCCCATATGGACATCACGGTGCTTTCACGGAAACGTCGACCACCGGATCTATTGAAACAGTTTCATCGACCGTGGAGCCCGCCCGTAGTTGTTTACCCTTGTTATGCATTTGTCGTGCAGTATCAGTCCAGCCGGGGTCCCTTGGTTATTGCCTGGATGTGCCATCCAAACACACCGCCCCTCGAGAGAGCACAGACACTGCGCGAGAAAGGAATCGGCGTAGGATGCGGTGCTGTATCGGACATCCGCAGCAGGACAATTCCAATCCCTGATCTGCCAGCCAGCACGTCAACCGAATCCCCCGATCCCAGTACCTTGCCAACCAACCCACAAGGCGACCAATCAACAAGCCAACTAACCATCGAACAGCCGACGCAAATGAAACGGCGAGGCGAAGGACCAACCAATCGACAATCAGATCGACCGATGAACACGTCGACCCCGAGAACGAACCGATTAACCAACGAACCGCCCAACTGCAAAACCGACCGAATAACGGCAATTGTATCAACCAATGGACTGGTCATCCAACCAATCACCGATCATCGAGTTTTTCGAACACTAAAATCATCAGTCAACGAGTCGACCGATCAACACACGACGACGCCGAATCAACGAACCGAGCGACCAAGGAATCGGCCACGCTTGAAACAGACTGATCAATGCCACACCCTTCCCCCGCCCCTTGTCGCTGTGCTCTCGCGTATGGGAAATCCTTCTGGTTCCGCCCAAAAGCGTGATGAAGGTTGTGTTCATTATCCTGACGGCACTCACGATTGGCATGTTCAAGTACCGACCGTCCCTCAAGGCTTCATACGACGCCTCCTTGGTGAGCAGGAAGAAAATCACAACCAACCCGCTGGCTTCGCATCTTCATGTATCACGTTCCCGTGGTAAATTCGTTCATTTGCCGTATCTGCATTGCCGGCACTCCCTGTATCCATTGGCCTACCCGATTTTCAGTACCGATGTTCAAGCGACATCCAGAAGTTCGCCCCCCTCAGGGACGTTCGGCATGTTTAGTATGTCCCGGAAAGAAATCCGCCCAGAAGAAACAATATTCTGTTGAAATAAACGTCCTGTAGGTCAGGTCTAGGATTTGTAGCCGATCGTTGGAATGCCACCACAGCAAAAGTTCGAATCCCATGTCTCCTCTCTTTTTTATCTATTGCCTACTCTCCCGTTCGCTCTCCGTCTTCTCGCCGTTCTCTCGATTTTTGTCTGTCCCTGTCGCCTTCTGCATTCATCTGCCCGCCTCTGATGTTCGTGGTAAGGACCACTTCCGTCTGTGGATGCACGGGATTGTCCCGAGCTTTATTCTGGCTGTGATTGTCCATATATTGCAATACCTTGGCGAGGTTTGTTACGTCTGCTCCTATTGCGTTTTAAGATTGAAGCGCGTCCGATTTATTTTGGTTGGTTGGCTGTATCAAGGTCTAGAATGAGAGGTTGGCTGTTGAGACAACGACCAAACAAGGGGATTGTGGCCATTAACAACAGAACGTTGGGCACGTATACTGCACATCGAGTCTCCGCTGATGCTGTTGTTTCAAGGCATGACGATTGGTGGTTGGGTGAAACAGACAGACAACATAGAAGCGCACGACGTTGGAAGCAGGGTGGTATGCTGCATAGTCATGAACGCAGGCGACACTAAGCGGCACTAGCCTGTAAACTGGTTTAACATTCTTAACAACGCCAACTCAAGCCATGAATTTATTTCACAAATACAGGAAGATCCCCTTCGCGAAACATACTGGTGGTCGAACGTGCCGAATATCGAGTTGCCGAGACTTTTTACCCACGAGTTTGCGGAGAAGCCTTTGAACTTTCTCTCGGTTTTTACCGCGCTCAGCTTTGTTGTGCCCGTAGCCTTCTGTCGGACTTGCCTGCACGTTTGGGCGACCATCGAAGCGTCCGTTCCGCATGTCATGAACACAGCCATATTCCCAAACTAGCCTGGTCAACTTTCTGTGGACCTTCTCGGAAGTGCTGGAGCCGCTGGCGCTCGTGCCGCAGTTGCTTGTGTTCCGGGGCAGCACGGACGCCGGGCGACTGGCATGTGAGTGACGATAGTAGAATCGTCTGTCTTACAAGGCGGGAAGAGCGAGGGTTTATCTGTTTCGGTGGGAAGGCCCGTTTTTTTGCTGCCAACCTGCTTCGCGGACGCTGGGTATAGCGGCGGAAAGCGAGGTCAGAGTGCTTGAGTTCCCGCGGGGGCCAGCGCCATTCGATAGCTGGTAAACCAGGCGGGACTGCGCGTTGTCGTGCTTGCAAGTACCTCAGCGCACACTCGGGTCTGCATCGCAAGCAGCCTACTCCGCTACTCTCCGTCTGCTCTCAGCTAAGAAGTCCAACGAAGAAGCCCCGTTCCGTCCGACTCTTCGCATGGTCTCTGCAGAAGGGCGCGGTGGACATTGCGAATGATGCTCCTATCCGGGATAGGTTGCCAAGGAAGGTTTTCATGTGATTCTTACTTGGCTTTCCCTGGACGAGAAACAACACTCTTGGACCCGCGCGCCACTTTTGCCGCGTATCTGTTTCTCAAGGTACCGCTTTTAAAACAAGCACCTGTTGCACCCCCACCCCTTCGCCCCTGACCATCTTGCCGATTCCGCACGCTCTTTCGCCGGGTCTCTTTCGCTATAAAACGCAGGGACGTACGTGACCCTGATGGGCGCCTACCGAGCGTTCTATATTCTCAACTGGGTGTACAGATCCCACTACGAATACGGGTACATACACCATCCGCTTGTGTATGCGGCGGGGATAATCCAGACGGGGATGTACCTCATGTTCCTCGTGGATCGGGGAGTCAGGTGTGCGCGAGGGTCCCTTCGTGGCGTGCTTTTTTTCTTGTGCTCTTTGATGCCGTACATGCTCTGATGACAACACGATGAACATTTTCTTTCTTACGACGGTCACTTAGGTCATTGACTAGCGGGTGGGTGGGCTGGGGTAATTTTCACACACGTCACCCCCACCACCGCAACTTCCTCCAACCGAACGACTCAACCTCTCACGCCTTTCCTCAACCCGCTTGCCTTCACGCGCAGAGTCTCTCCGCACTTGCCCCCCGATGAGACCGGTGATGTCGACATCATGGAACCAACCTCTTCTGCCCGGGAGCGGCTACTACCCGACCAGGACACAGACACAGAGCCAAGCCGCAACCGTGAGCGCGGTTTGGACGGTGAGGTGCATGGGAGGAAGCTCTCGGGTGTAGCGGATGCCGCAAGCGCGACGTCACGGCGCGGTGAACATCAGCGAGGCGACGAAACCGTGAGCAAGATCGAGAGTGTCCTGAGTCGGGAGCGTGGGCAGGGACGGTCTGTGCACGCTAGTGGCAAGAATGCGGCCGAAGACACTAGCAGCGTTGAAACACGCACGGCCGCCGCCGCTGGTGGCGGTGGTGCTGCTGGTGGTGAGATGACAGGGAGCCAAGGAGTGTACCTCGTCTAGACTGAGGGCTACACGTATGTAGACGTCTCCGACATACGAATGTACCGCACACAATCCTACACGCTCAAGTTTGGGGGTGAGGTTGGTATCATGGAAGGGGGCACTATAATGCAGTTGATGATGTGGCGCAGTACACGTGGCACCGGCGATGAGTGGGCTGGTATTTCGAGGAGGGAGCTGAAGAGCGACGTACCTCGTTGTCGAGAGAGTGCATTGTTCGGTATATGGATTTGGGTGTTCTGCTGTGTATTGCAATATTCGTAGTGGTTGGTGGAAGCGTAAGGAGAACGATATTTCAAGGAGCGTGAAGCAGTGACACGAGGCCACTATGTCTTGTCGATAGAGGTTGTATCGTTCGGTATGTGGAGTAAAGTGTCGGCTGCAAATTCTGATATTAATCGTGATTGTCGGACGCGTAAGGAGAAAGATATTTCAAGGAGCATGAACCAGTGGCACAGAGACTACTACGTTGTTTCGCTAGAGTTTGGTTTGTTCGATATACGGAGTCGAATTTTCGGCTGTAAATGACAAGATGCGCAGTGGTTTCCGGATGCGTATGGAGAATGATATTTCAAGGAGCCTGGACAAGTGGCATAGAGGCCATTTTTCATCGTTTCGATAGAGTTGTTTGTTCGGTATATGGAGTCGAGTTTCCGGCTGTAAACTACAATATTCGCGGTGGTTGGCGGCGGTTGGCGGCCGCGTGAGGAGAAGAATATTTCAAGAAGCATGAACCAGTAACACAGAGGCCTCCATGTGTTGTCAATGGGTATACTAATTCGATAGTTAACACCGATGAAGGCCGTTGATTGCGTTAGGTTTTCTAGAGACCGGCGGCCTAGTGGCTAACCTCGTGAACCTACTACCACGTCGTAGCATGTTGGAGTTCGGTTCTCTCCAGAGGGAGGAAAAAATTGAAAGATGGGGTGTAGTATCTCTTACACGCGGTCACCTTGCGAAAAAAGCCTAAGGAACGCACGGATGAAGTAGGACAGACAGGGCTTTGAAAAAAACAAAGGGATAGCAAACAAGCTCCTGTGTGTCCCGGGATGCCCGGGATGATACGTCCGACGTATACACCGAACGGTGTATGCAGACTGTAGACTGGCGCCAGAACAAAGAGGACGAACACACACACCAGAAGAAACTGTTCTGAAAGCAGAGTTCGTTGGCCAGTGGCAAAGAGGCCGCAAAGTGTTGTCGAAAACAAATTGATGGTTTACATGTTGTCTCTTTGGGAACTGTCCACAGGATCTGCAGTGCCGAGTATCAGCGGCCACCCCCTTCCACTCTCGTCATCTCGTTGCAGTCCTAGGTCGGCCCCAGGGGAAGCAGGGACGGGGGAGGTCGACTGTACATCAAATCGATTCACCATGCTGTCAATGTACGCGGTTTGGGAGATTTGAGGGTCCCACAAGATTTCGACTCTTTCCGTTGTTCCTTTATTTACCTTCAGATTCCTATGTACAGAGTACACTAAACCTACGGAGCTGCGGAGCTGCGGCGTACGTCCTTTCCCATACGTGTCTGTGATGACACATTCCTTTTTCGTGCTCTGTTACAGAACATCACACATTGCCACCGTGACCAACATCTACAGGCGCGGAGTGACACGGAGGTACAGCAGTGCATAGGTACAGCAGTGCAGCGATATGAGATGCACAGCTCAAGATGCATGCACGGTTGCAGAGATCTTGAGAAGTCAGCAGAAGTTAGGGAACGAAGTGTTCGTAGCAAATAGTTGTCGGAGTTCCCGCGCACCTGCCCCCTGCCCCCAGCCCTGTTGCTTGTGCTCAGCTTCGAGAAATCTAATAACATTAGTGGTGTTTTGGACGCTGATACCCTGCCGTACCTTACGGTGGTCGGGCCCGCCCCACACTGCCTTTATGCTACGTTGAAGGGAAACTGACAAAAGAGGGGACGTCCCCCTGGTATTTCGAACAAAAAGGGGACGTGCATTTTTCGGGGCGGGGCGCGCACATTTGCGCCCGATAAAAACCCTCCAAACCGCGTTCTAGCGCCCCCACCGACCGCGCATGGTCTGTGGGTACTTCCCCAAACAGTTTTTTCGGCCTTCACCCTGCGACAACAGTGCCTTGACGGCCGCTCAAAGCCCCCTTCCCGCAGACGACCCCTTTTTGTCTAACGTTTCGGGGGACCGACCCCCCCCTCTGCTAAAAAACTATAACCGACTCCTTTGTGTTCACGTATCGTCCCCTTTTTGTCGGGGAGGCTGGTGGAGGCGACCCCTTTTTGTTTAAGGGGACAGATGCACAACAACCATCTCAACCCTAGAACGTTCTAGGAACTAGCTGTGTGTGCGTTTGAGTTTTGCCCTAAAACGCTAACCCTAACCCTGACCCCAACCCCCAACCCGACCACCCTCGAGGGGCCTTGGAGAAGTTCTAGGTCGCAGGGGCTAGGTTGGAGGGCAGCGGTAAGGCTAGACCGCGGCTGCGTCGCGGCTTTGGCGCACTTTTAACAGTCTCGCCATACGTCACAGACTTAGGGTGCTTCTTATCGACCAATAAAACACGAAAAAAAAAACGAAACCGTTTTTTCTTGTGAACACATATGGAGGCGTTTTTGAACGAAAGCGTGAAAAGAAGGAGCCCGGTTTTTTTGGGGCTTGCTACTTAAACGAATTCGTGTTTTTGACAGAAGCATCGGACAAGCGCACCGCAGGCGCTGTAACATCACTGAGAACGCTAGAAAGACCTGCCAGACTCACGTCCAGGTCTGTTGTGGAGATGGACAAGCGGCAGAAGCGGCGTTCAGTCCGTTCTTGGTCCAAAACTAGACATTGCGTGGTGCTCTCGTCTTCAACTGCTGCTGTTGGTGCTGGGGAATTTTTTTCGATCACACATAGCAAACACGGAAACAGTAGAACGAGTACAGCAGCACCACCAAGACCTCCAAAGCGCTGATTCCTTCGGTTCGGCTGTCTATATGATACCATCTCCCGGCGCCGTGCTGCTTCGTGGGTATTGAGTGCTTGGGTGCTGCTCAATAAGGTGCGTGAGAGACGTGTGCCACCTCACCCAAATGCCGTTGGAAAAAATGCGGCGAGATGGCCTGTTTTTGGTCGGACGCATCAACATCAATCCAAGGCACCACGCAGCAGTAGAGCAACAGGGCCTCCGACACGCAAATTCTTTCGGATTGGCCATCTATATGATGCTGGCCGTCAGCGCGGCTGCCGCCCTATGATTGTTGAGCTCGTCTACCTTTGGGTAGGTGGTGGTCAAAGATGGGAGTCGCAACCGTGAAAAATGAGCTGACAAACTGAAGAAATCGCAAGCAACACCCAGGTGGCGACACTCTGCCCTGCGCCTGTTGTTGCTGAAAACTGAAAACAGCAGGCCAGGTGGACGGGATCTTTCTAAGTGTGTTGTCCTCTGTGTCGGGTGCTGCTTATTGCGCTTTCACCGCTGCTCTATGGTGAGCAATACCATGTCAACCCGTTGTGTGTCGAGCAAAACGTGTATTCAGGGGAAGGAAACGTGCTTTTTTTGATGACATCATGATTAGAACAAGGGAAAAATAATCGGATCTTCTTTTCACCGTTCCGTGAAAAAAAGCGTTTTTTTTTCGTTGCGTTAACAATAACCCTTACGCCGAAAAGGTCCGAAAAAGACGACCCCCTGTTTGTCCGACATACCGGGGGGACGTCCCTTTTTTGTCTATTTCTCTACTTTTATGTACCCATCACATCACGATATACCCCCTTTGCAATAGGAAAATAGGTCGTTCTGTGGCCGGATTTACCCAGCTGTCTCGCGGCGAAAGATATTTGGTCATGATATGTGGGCTTGGGGAGCAACACAATTCCGGAAATCAAATACTTGCCCGCTACACGCACGAACACCACTTTCATGGCGCTAAACACAGCCAACAGCTTCGATTGAAACGCTTGATTGCCCACGTCACCGACGCCGTTGTCCCCCCACCTTTCTTGGTTTGTTTGCCCTAACTTCATTCGTGATACCAAGTGTACTTTCTGATTTTCTCCTCATGCCCGGCCCTGCCGAGGTGCAGCCAATTTCCATTTTCTTGATAGTCGTCAAATTCGTTATGAGTGCTCCAGTTCGCACTGATCCAACTCGAAATTGCTGGATGCCTGTTATTATGGGACGCCATAATTCTGCAGCGGTGTCTTTTCCACGTACATCCATTTGCTCTCGCCCACTTGAGAATTTCAAGATTTCCACTCCCTACAGCAGAGTCGCAAGTTTTTTTGTCCCACGGGTATCCGTTGTCTCTCGCCCACTTCAGCATGGCGAGGTTTCCTTGGGCGGCTGCTGTCTCGCACAGTTTTGAGTCCTCCTTGTCTTGGTATGGTGGGCGTCTGCCATTCGAAGAGGGGACACAAGAGATGCCAGAAGCACCATCGTTGATTAGCAACTTGGGGAAGACAACAATTCTGCACAAGTTTGTGTACGGCTGGCCACTTCAAAGAGGGACTCCAAAGCATCATCACCTTCGAGCCTGCGCCAATTCCTCCGCTTCTGTCACTTTTGCCGCTTCTGCCACATCTGCCGCCGCTTGCTCCTTTGAACTCGCCACATCGGAAAACCACTTGTTGTGTACAAAAAGAGAGACCATTTGCAGCAAAGGACAGTGGTCACGACAGATATCATCATTGAAACCCGAAAATTAACCTATAAATCCAGCGAGAGATTCCGACCATGGGTAAAATCGAGTTTTATATCGGAGGCCCTTTTCATCCCCGTTTAATTGAATTGGGAAAAAAAAATTCAGGGTCAATTTTGTTCCTTTAGCCCGTTGCTTATGCGGTCGGAAATCACGAGAAAAAATAGGCCATTTCCAATTTTTATCGTAGGCACCAGCCATTTCCGATCGGCCCTTCTTGTGCTGTTTCGAGACGGAAATCGACAAAAAAAAAAAGGGCAGAAGAGTAGATTGCCTCTCTGAACCAGCAACAAACACACGCCCGTGCACAACGATTTTTATTACTCGCTCCATAGACCTCCTCGTCCGCTAAAACCTTCAAGGATGACACTTCCATCTACTGCTCTGAGTCGGATGGGCGTGGGGTTGCAGTTGGATGTCCCAATCAAAACAAGAAGCGTCGGCGTGAGGGTCACTTGGAATTTCGGACGCAAAAGTCACCCTTTATTTGCACTTGAAAATAGAGGGTGTGGGGGTCAACCGTTGGGAAAGCAAAAAAACATCCTTCGTGCACGCACACGCTTCTCGCTCTTGATTCAGACAACGGACTGCAACCCCACGCCCGTCCGACTGAAAGCAGTAGATGGAGGTGCCATCCTTGAAGGTTTTAGCTCTATCAAGCGAGAAATGATAAAGCGTTGTGCACCGATGTTTGTTCGCATGCTGCTCTTTTGGCTCGGACGAGCAGAGGGCCATCCCGTGGATTGTCATGTGGTACATTTGTGCGCATCTGACATAATTGGGTTAGGGTTAGGGTTAGGGTTAGGTTAGGGCCCCCTTTTTGTCACGTGTCACAGAAAACAGGATTGGAGACTCAAATCAGGATTACAGATTGAAACACTGTTTTCACCATGCATGTCTTTGCTTAGGGCCCCCTTTTTGTCACGTGTCACAGAAAACAGGATTGGAGACTCAAATCAGGATTACAGATTGAACCACTGTTTTCACCGTAGGGTTAGGGCCCCCTTTTTGTCACGTGTCACAGAATACAGGGTTGGAGACTCAAGTCAGGATTACAGATTGAAACACTGTTTTCACCGAAGGGTTAGGGCCCCCTTTTTGTCACGTGTCACAGAAAACAGGATTGGAGACTCAAATCAGGATTACAGATTGAAACACTGTTTCCACCGTGCATGTCTTTGCTTAGGTCCCCCTTTTTGTCACGTGTCACAGAAAACAGGATTGGAGACTCAAATCAGGATTACAGATTGAACCACCTGTTTTCAGGGTTAGGTTAGGGCCCCTTTTTGTCACGTGTCACAGAAAACAGGATTGGAGACTTCAAATCAGGATTACAGGATTGAAACACTGTTTTCACCGTTGCATGTTCTTTGCTTAGGGCGCCCTTTTTTGTCACGTGTCACAGAAAACCAGGATTGGAGACTCAAATCAGGATTACAGATTGAAACACTGTTTTCACCGTAGGGTTAGGGCCCCCTTTTTGTCACGTGTCACAGAATACAGGGTTGGAGACTCAAATCAGGATTACAGATTGCAACACTGTTTTCACCGTGCATGTCTTTGCTTAGGGCCCCCTTTTTGTCACGTGTCACAGAAAACAGGATTGGAGACTCAAATCAGGATTACAGATTGAAACACTGTTTTCACCGTAGGGTTAGGGCCCCCTTTTTGTCACGTGTCACAGAACACAGGGTTGGAGACTCAAGTCAGGACTACAGATTGAAGCACTGTTTTCACCGTGCATGTCTTTGTTTAGGGCCCCCTTTTTTTCACGTGTCACAGAATACAGGGTTGGAGACTCAAATCAGGATTACAGATTGAACCACCGTTTTCACCGTAGGGTTAGGGCCCCCTTTTTGTCACGTGTCACAGCAAACAGGGTTGGAGACTCAAATCAGGATTACAGATTGAAACACTGTTTTCACCGTAGGGTTAGGGCCCCCTTTTTGTCACGTGTCACAGAAAACAGGGTTGGAGACTCCAATCAGGATTACAGATTGAACCACTGTTTTCACCGTAGAGTTAGGGGTTATGGCCCCCATTTTGTCACGTGTCACAGAAAACAGGATTGGAGACTCAAATCAGGATTACAGATTGAAACACTGTTTTCACCGTAGGGTTAGGGCCCCCATTCTGTCACGTGTCACAGAAAACAGGATTGGAGACTCAAAACAGGGTTACAAATTGAACCACTGTTTTCACCGAAGCGTTAGGGCCCCCATTTTGTCACGTGTCACAGAAAACAGGATTGGAGACTCAAATCAGGATTACAGATTGAAACACTGTTTTCACCGTAGGGTTAGGGCCCCCATTCTGTCACGTGTCACAGAAAACAGGATTGGAGACTCAAATCAGGATTACAAATTGAACCACTGTTTTCACCGAAGCGTTAGGGCCCCCATTTTGTCACGTGTCACAGAAAACAGGGTTGGAGACTCAAAACAGGATCTCAGATTGACACTCTGTTTTCACTGTGTATGTCTTGGTTTAGGGCCCCCTTTTGTTACGTGTCACAGAAAACAGGGTTGGAGATTCAAAACAGGATCTCAGGTTCAAACACTGTTTTCACAGTGTATGTCTTGGGTTAGGGTTAGGGTTAGGGTTGTATTGACAATTTATCTCCACCCTAAAGAATTTGCTTGGGACCGTTTTTGAAACACTCACCCAGACGTAGTGTGGGAGCACGACAAAAAAGACGGAACCACTTTTCATGTAGAGGGGCTCGAGAAATAAGCGGTTGAAGCACCGCTGCCTCACGCCCATTGCTTCCCCCACACTTGGACCTTTTCGCGGCCTCTGTTTGGGCTTGTATTGACAAAGGGTTAGGGTTAGGGTTAGGGTTAGGGTTAGGGTTAGGGTTAGGGCCCCCTTTTTGTCACGTGTCACAGAACACAGGGTTGGAGACTCAAGTCAGGATTATAGATTGAAGCACTGTTTTCACCGTGCATGTCTTTGTTTAGGGCCCCCTTTTTTTCACGTGTCACAGAATACAGGGTTGGAGACTCAAATCAGGATTACAGATTGAACCACCGTTTTCACCGTAGGGTTAGGGCCCCCTTTTTGTCACGTGTCACAGCAAACAGGGTTGGAGACTCAAATCAGGATTACAGATTGAAACACTGTTTTCACCGTAGGGTTAGGGCCCCCTTTTTGTCACGTGTCACAGAATACAGGGTTGGAGACTCCAATCAGGATTACAGATTGAAACACTGTTTTCACCGTAGAGTTAGGGTTATGGCCCCCTTTTTGTCACGTGTCACAGAAAAAAGGATTGGAGACTCAAATCAGGATTACAGATTGAAACACTGTTTTCACCGTAGGGTTAGGGCCCCCATTCTGTCACGTGTCACAGAAAACAGGATTGGAGACTCAACACAGGGTTACAAATTGAACCACTGTTTTCACCGAAGCGTTAGGGCCCCCATTTTGTCACGTGTCACAGAAAACACGATTGGAGACTCAAATCAGGATTACAGATTAAAACACTGTTTTCACCGTATGGTTAGGGCCCCCATTCTGTCACGTGTCACAGAAAACAGGATTGGAGACTCAAATCAGGATTACAAATTGAACCACTGTTTTCACCGAAGCGTTAGGGCCCCCATTTTGTCACGTGTCACAGAATACAGGATTGGAGACTCAAATCAGGATTACAGAATGAAACACTGTTTTCACCGAGCATGTCTTTGCTTAGGGTTAGGGTTAGGGTTAGGGTTAGGGCCCCCATTTTGTCACGTGTCACAGAAAACAGGGTTGGAGATTCAAAACAGGATCTCAGATTGACACTCTGTTTTCACTGTGTATGTCTTGGTTTAGGGCCCCCTTTTGTTACGTGTCACAGAAAACAGGGTTGGAGATTCAAAACAGGATCTCAGGTTCGAACACTGTTTTCACAGTGTATGTCTTGGGTTAGGGTTAGGGTTAGGGTTGTATTGACAATTTATCTCCACCCTAAAGAATTTGCTTGGGACCGTTTTTGAAACA